CTGCAGAGAAGGACCTGCGAGTTGCAGTGGACCATAAGCTCAATGTGAGCCAACAATGTACTCTTGTTGCAAGAAAAAGCTAGGGGCATACTGGGTTATATTAACAGGAGTGTCACCTGCAAATCAAAGGAAGTGATTCTTCCACTCTGTTCAGCACTGATGAGGCCTCACCTGGAGTACTGTGTCCAGTTTTGGGCCCCACACTTCAAGAAAGATGTGGACAGTTCAGAAAAAGTCCAGTTCAGATCAATGAAAATGATTAGGGGCTTGGAAGGCAATATTTATGAGGAAAGGCTAAAAAAAATTAAGGTTATTTAGTCTGGACAAGAGAAGATTTAGGGGTGTATTTGTTAACTATCTTCCAATACTTGAAGAGTGATTATAAAGAGGATGGAGATGGCCTTTTCTCTGTGGCTGTAGGGGACAGGGCTAGGAGAAATGGCCCCTAACTGCATCAGGGGAAATTTATGTTGGAGATCAAGAGGAACTTTCTGACTATGAGGGAGGGTCAGGCATTGTAAAAGGCTATCTAGGGTCACTGTAGAATCTCCATTCTTGGAAGTTTTCAAAAGCAGGTCAGACAGACACTAGCTAGGATAGTTCAGTTAGGGATGACCCTGCCTTGAGCCAGGGGCTGGACTAGATGACCTTGTGAAGTCCTCTGCAGCCCTACATTCCTGTGATCTAATTATTTGATGCCTTGCTTCCAGTCATCGTAACCCCCTCATTCGAAGGTGTACTGCCGAGCACTTACTAACCATCGTGGAACAGATTGGAGCGGAAAAACTTCTGTCGGGCACCCGAGACAGTACAGAGTTGCTGGTCCGGACACTGGTGAAGCTTGCTCAAGACAGCAATCAAGACACTCGGTAAGAACTGATGTGCCTTCCATCTCTGAGGAGCAGAAACTTTTTCTTCTGAGTGGCTGGCAAATGGCAACCTATATGTCGTGCAATACACTATAAGATGAGCGTAAAGAAGAATACTTGTCTGAGTGTAATGTTGGCTAAAGAATGCTCAGTTTCTTCTGGGTTTTCTAGCAAAGGAGAGACGTTTAAATACTTATGTTGTATGAAGCATTCATTATTTTAATTGATTGCAATTAGCTGTGTGCTCCTAGCAACAATTTTCTTTGATGCCAACATGTGCATGTGACTTCCCTGACTCTTGTTGAATGTTGGGTAAAGCTGAAGCCCTGGCCACTGAAAGATCCCAGTGCTTTTGTGGGAAGAATAAGATGGTTCTGGTCACATTCCAACAGCACTGAATCAATGTGTTCTTCCTTCCTGCAGTTTCAATTGGCTATGGTATTTGTCACGTTCTGTCCTAAACCATCATGTATTGCTGTGGTCTGTGGCTGAACATATTCCATTTCAGTGATGAAAAAATTCCTATACAGTAATTTGTTAAAGCACGTTGGAATCCTATAAAATGAAAACCTCATTGGAGAACCAAGCTGATACTATTATTAACATTTATAGGAGTCCCACGTGTCTGTTGGAGGAAAAGTAGATTCCTGCATTCATGAATAGATCTCTGTGGAACCAGATTATTTCTTTTCTCACTGCTCTTCTGCTGCATTTTCTATTGCAGACAGTATGCAGTGTTGTATACTGATGTCAATTTGAGATAAATCTCACTCTCTATTGACGGGATTAAAAGTTCTTACGAAGTGCATTGCCCATGAGGAACACAAAAAAATGTGTTCTTGTAACACTGCCGGCTTCCTGGATGGATGAATGAGATGGTGATGTTTTGAGGTAAAATGTTTTTTAATTAGTTAGTCTCCTTTCCATGCTAGGTTTTATGGACGGAAAATGTTGAATACACTGATGCCCCATCCAAAATTTGATGGATATTTGAAACAGTGTCTCCCATCACATGACTTGCGGGATGTCATAGCAACAATTAAGCAGAAAGTAAGTGCTTAGTAGGATATATATCTTCTGTAGGAATGTACCAATATTGCCTTGCAAGTCTAAACATAACCTCTCTTTCTTTCTCTCTTGCACCCTTCCTTTTTCCTTGGAGTTTTCTTTTTATGGGACTGAATTGCAGATCCAGAGCCATTTTATGTGCAAGCATTTGGGGATCTAGATTTGGAATAACTGATGTAGGATTATGACCATAATAAAGAATGGGAAGGAGAGGGCGATGGCCTTCTTCGCATCCATAAACAGAAAGAGGGCAGGGATGAAAGTAGTTCTTTGTAAACCTCTTTTCCATAAGTAAGGGAAAAAGCCCCTAGAAGATTTTGGAACAGGGGTGATATATGGCTATCCTAGTGGTTTATATAATTTCTTTACTTCAGGAGTATCATCCCTCCTCTCAGGTTGTGTCACTGAACTTAAAAGTGCTGTGAGACTATTCACTGGCAGTAGAAAATCATCCTGATGAACTTTTTTTTTGTGCCCATTTCTCTTGTGGAAAACAAACAATTTTTTTTGGAGGGGGGAGAAGGGGTTGGGGGAGCTGGAAAAGCAAGAATGAGACATGAATTGTCTTGCCTAAAATTTCCTTAATAGTCTTTAGGCCCACAAAAACCTTTTATAACAATAGTTTCCAATCCAGAGCTCATATAGTGGGGTCACACTGTTGTGGGTGGGGGGTCACAATATTCCAGAGAGAGAAAACTGAGAGTTGAAATGTGGGTGCTATTATCATGTTGCTCAGACCACTGTTGCCACCCTATGTGCCCACAGTTAGTAGGGAGTGGAGACTTATCACACCTCAGGTAATGGTCTGTGTGTCCACAGTTACCCTGGGAGAAAGTGAAGGCTAAACGGAGACAACACAGATCTGTTTCATTTAGATGGCCCTGGTTTATTTTCAACATGGGTTAAATGGGAATAGAGACAATTACTGTGGAGCAGCTGAGTCTCTCCTTTCTGTGGCCACAGGGACAGTTTCCACTATCTAAAGTCATGCAAAATTATCAGACTGCAAATGAGGGCATGGCAGGAAAGAAGTTGGAAATGGCTGTTTTAGAAAGTCTAACAGGGATCCAACACTTACCAGAGTTAACTGCATGCTCACTTGCTGGCTGGTAGCTCTTTGTGACTGCAGGGCTTCCACATGTGACTGGATCCATCTGTCTCTCTTCAGGTGCCCCCGTCTGTCAGTGCTTTATCTTAGTGTCCCTCCAGTGGATAAGATGGTGACAGTGAAGACAGTGACTTTACAGACTTTTTTGGAGTCTTTAGCTCTTTTCCCTGTTTGAGCTCTGCTTTACTTCTTCAGAAGCAAGGACCTTGGTTCTAACCTGTATTTTGCCCTGAGTACTTTAAGCAAGTTATTACCCATCTTCTCTCACTTCTTATAGATGTATTTTTATATGTATATAGGGCATGGAAGATGATGCATCTGAACCCCCTTCTGCCAAAGGCCGCAGGGAGTCTAGGAACAGCAGCTTGACAGTCTCCCGTGACAGCCTGCCTTCTGGTGAAGGGTATTAAAACTTTTTGGTTGTCATTGTGTTAGTTTTGAACACGTGTGGGGAAGTTTTCAGCCCTGTTTATCAGTTAAATGTATCTGATACGGCTGAGCAGCAAGCAGTGTTCCAAGCTCACAAAACCTTTTGAGATTTCAAAAATTCTCCTCCAACACTGCATTGAGATGAACCTAAGAGCTTTAGAAGTTCTTCAAGAAAAATGAGTGGGAGAAACCAATCCCCCACCACACAAAGAAAACAACTAGTAGTCCTGTGGCTAGAAGAACCTGTTCAACCTGTTATACATCCCATCTGAGTGCCCTTCCCAGGGGACTATCAATTATTCCCAGGGTGGGTGTCTCCTTCTCTGGTTCTTGACCAGATATTTCCACCCTGAACTCTAAATGACAGTTGCTTCAAAACTGGTATATGAAAAGGTTTAGTTTTTATGAATTAGCATTTTATGACAAAAAAACACTGATTCCAGGCAGCTGCAGGTAGACTATGGATAGCGTCACTTCCTGCTATGCTGGATTGGAGCTGAAGACAGGAGCTTGGTCCATTTGCTCCCAGAGCTGGCAGTGGACCTACCAGTAACTTTTCTCCTTTGATAACCCAGTGGATTTGTTTTAATTTCATTGTGTTCAGTGCTTAGAAGAAAGTGAGCACAAGCCTTACTGCTGTGTTCAGAATTCTCCCGAGGTACATGTTACAATCAATTAATTGTATTTTAAGGGTTATAATCCAAAACCCATTGACATAACTTTCCACTGATTTCAGCAGGCTTTGGATCAGACCCTAGGAAAAGAAAGTTGTGAGACCAGGGCTGGGAGCCAGCCCTCCTGGCTTCTGTGCCCACCTGTGCTGGGCAGATTCTCTAAATTGCCTTGGATAAGGCATTATGGGTTTTTATAGATGACACTTTAAAGCAGGTTTAAAGTGAGTTAAATACCTTTGGCACTGCTTCAGTGGCATTGCTGTTTGCACATTTGGCGGCATATTGCATGTTATTTCCAGCCGTTGTAGCACTCTCAGCAGCATAATCCACCTTTAAATGACTTTGGGGCACTGCAAAATAAAGCACCTCTGAGGAGTTATAGTTTCTAAACCCTACAGCTGTGGAGGGAAGCACCAGGCCCTGTGCAGCTCAGGGGCCATGCAGGCAGCCCAGCAGTAGCCTGGGAAGGCAGGCTTCACAGAAGGGGGGGAAAAGAAAATGGCAAGCCTGATTTCCCTCCCACCCAGAGCCTGCCTGCCTGAGCTGCACAGGTGCCTAGTGCTTCCCACCGGGGACTGCCCAAGCCAGGTGCCTGCAGGTGGGTGTCACCTGGGCAGGGGCTGCCACTGCCATGGAGGAAAGCAGCAGGACACCCCTCCCCTTCCCCCACAGCTTGGGGACCGCTCTGCCCACCAGAAGCTCGCTCTCCCCTCCATGCTGCTGGAGGGGCAGGGAAGAATTGGGCTTCGACATAGGTGTACATGAGACTTGGGTTTACTTTGTCCTAAATTGAAGCGGTGTTTTTAAAATAAATACTGCTTCAATTTAGGGAGAATTAAACCCCTGTGTCACGTACAAACCCCCTATGTTTCAGTTTTCCTAATTACAAAATGGAGATGCTGCTAATTAGACTTTGCTTCTGCAGTAAGTTTGAGACCATTTATAAGACCAAGCTCTACTTGTAATGAGGTCAGTAGGGTATCTTTTAGCTGTTATTGTCATTGCTCTGTTGTCCCTTAATCCCAAAGGATTCATGCTGATTTTGTTTTTCAATATGAGGTCCAGTCCAGACACCTTAGTCCCACCACAGCACGTTGTTCGTCGGTCATCTCTCCGCAGCCTGGAAGTGATAGATCAGCTCAAGGAGCTGAACAAGCTCCTGACGGCCAAGGAGTTTCAGATGCGAATGGAGGGAATAATGCTTCTTACGGATCACTGCAAAAACAACCCCCAGTTTGTCTCCTCAAACATTATTCAGGTATTGGGGGCCTTTCCTTTGTTCCCTTTCCCTTTGTGCTCTGCACCTTCTCTTCCAGGACCCTCCTAGCAGCAAAGTCCAGCAGCCCCAACCTGACATTTTTCTCTTTACGAGGTTTGGGTGCCTCCATTGTCTTCCCAAAAATCCATTGCTAATTAACCATTAACATTTTTCTGTATAAGACCAGAGATAACTTTAAGAAAAATACTTGTTGAGGTCTTGAAGAAGTTGACTGTATTTCCCTTAAGTATAAGGATTTCTCAGCATTAATCTGGGATAATAACTAACTTTCCTGTATCCACACAAACATTCCTCATCTATTTAAAATGGGAAGGGAGATGCTACTAAAGAAATAAGAGCCTTACCATGCACGCTATAATGTGCATAGTATTTACTGCTGTGAATAGTCTGTGGAAGACGATGGGACTTTTCAGAGTTACAAGTGCCAGCTTGATAGGAAGTGTGAGCAGGGTCAGAGCTAGCATTTGTATTTACAGGAAGACTTTGTTTCTACATCCCCTACCAGGCCCAGAGAGATCGCACATCCTGGTTTTGTTTTTGTTTTAAACAGATTTTTGATGATTTTACCCTGAGACTTCAGGACTCCAACAAGAAAGTGAACCAGTATGCACTAGAATCAGTTGTCTCCATGATCCCCGTCCTCCGAGATGGCTTACATCCAGTCACGGTCTCTATGGTTACAGTGGTCACTGACAATCTGAACTCTAAGAATTCGGGTATTTACTCTGCAGCAGCGAAGGTGCTGGAAACTCTGATTACACATTTAGGTAATGCTTCGTTCATTTTGTTCCTGCCCTGGAGGTATCCTTTCCAGGCCTCAAACCAAATATTTCAAAATGGCCCTTTATTACCTGATTTGGCCAGTGGACTCTGTTCTGGTTTGAAGGCATACTCAGCCTTTTCACTACTGTCATTTAGCTTAATAACATGAGTCATGTGGTTGAATTCTTCTATACTTTCTGTCTTAACTGCTGCATAATGTTGCTCTGAGCGGTTAAATGGATCCTGTTTTTTCACCCGCAGCCTGGATCTGGCTGCATTTCAGCAGTTATCTCCTGTTCTGTTCAGGTTCTTTTATCATCCTTACCAGGTGCGTCTACACATGCATTAGCATCTACTGTGCTTATTATGGAGTAAGATACTGCGCCGTAAGCGGTTTTTAGGTCAGCATCTACGCGTGCAGCCATTAAAGCACAGTAATGCTGTATGTGGACTGACTGGGGACTAAAGTTAGTCCCCAGTCAGTCCACACAGTGTTACTGTGCAGTAAGGTGTCTACACGTGCGTTAAGGTGCAGTAAGTAATCAGGCATAAATTTGATACCTGAATGATCAAATTTCATCTTCAACATGATCATGCAGGTATCAAATTTATGACATAAGTCTCCATAGTTACTGCACAGTATGGACATGCGTGCATAGATGTGAGCCTGTACTGTACAGTAATTTTTGGTTACTGCGTAGTAACCTAAATTACCGCTCAGTAAATGTGCATGTGTAGATGCGCCCACCTTGTAGTATATGGGTTGTTTCTAGGAGAACATTAAGTGCTACGATTTATATCTGTCATGTCTTTCTCTCTCTCTTTCTCTAGTTGGAGTTTGTGTGTTGATTTCTTTTTTTAACTATGATATTTTTGTTCCACGTACACTGGGCTTATGTCAGCTTGGAACCGAGGGTGGTGAGGTCACTGATGATTTTTCGTGTCCTCAGGAATTGTCTTGGAGAGGATCTTGGAGCAGCTCTGACTCCTGTATGGATGAGTAAGACCCTTGTGGTGGACCGTTCCACTGTCCCTCAGAAGGGGAAGCTCTGTCTTCTGGTCCCCATCCTGGAGTTGTAGATGATCTTTCATCTACAGGTGTCCTGAGCTCTCACATTGTTGAGTGTCTTGAAGATTAAGGGTTGAGACTTTGCATTTGACATGTCATGTCATCCTATTTCATGGCATGCCAGTGCAGCAAGTGGAGTCCAGGTCAGGCAATGGTAGAAATAATTCCTCCACAGCCAGTGGGATTGTACTTAGTTCAGTGCA